TGAAGTTTTCCTCATATTCTCCATATATTATATTTAGCCTATTTGTTTGAGTTTGTATGCATTAATGTTCTATTTCCTAATCTTTAATCGAAAGCAAATTGTAAGAGCACAAAATCTTTGGTTACACTCGAACTTTGCCCTACTTTACTTGCCTTAGGTAATGATCGGGTCATAAATGTCATAATATTCCAGAAATTTTAATTTTGATTTGTCTTTTGGTGGACAACTGATTTAAAGTGCTTGCTGAATGCATCAGCCAGGAGAATAATATCCTACGAGAGTTATTCTGTAGACTTTTTGGTGGATATTTGACATTTCGCAGTTAATACGTGCTTCCTTCGTTTTCTTCTTGATGAGCAAAACATCACTATTTCTTATGGTTTAATTCTACTCTAGACTCTTTGTAGCAAAAATATTTATAATTAAGGAGTATTATAGAGTAAAAAATATTAAAAGATAAAACATAAAAAGTTGAGATATTCTAGAACTACCAAATTGATCAGTTAAAGAAAAAATAAAACATACAGTTAGTTACATTTACTGCGATCTTAATGATTTTTGCACCAGTGCTAACCACTTTTTGCCATAATCGGATTTTACTTCTATCTTTACTTTAATTATATATAATTTATAAAATTAAAAAAAAAAGTAACCATACTTCTCATTTCGAGTTCTCCGGCTTAGCAACTTCTTGCCTAAGAACAGCATACCCATATTCGTATAAGCAAAATATGTAGACATTTATCCAACGTTAAAACTCAATTTAAATTCCTGGCTATTTGCATTAGTTTCCGAATTCGCATTGATTCGCCGCGTTTGAGAAACACTCGTCACCTGTCGGCTTTGTTTGGCGCGCCAAAGAGGCTGCCTGCTACAATCACTTTGATGACGTTAATGCACTCGTCGTTGGGAGGAATGCGCGGTGTGCTGAAAGGGCATAATTTGCATGCAGATAAACCGAAAGCATCCAAAATTAACATACTAGATGTGTAGATATGTAAATAAAATGTGGCTAATTTGCCGTTGTCACCAAATGCCACACATTGCAGCGGTGACAATATTTTTTATGTTCGCTTTGCGGCTTAATGTAAAGTCAATTTGTGGTTTGAAGGTGCAGTTTTGAACAGCATTCAAAACACACACACACATACATATATGTGTGTATGTTTTTGCGAAAGCATGGTAAACAAAGTGTGTCATTACGTCAGACACCCACAACTGTTGTATATGTTAAAGACAATGTATTGAGTTTAGACCCATGAGAGCATTTAGACGAAGGTGTATATGAAAGCAAGCAGTGGTGATTTTATACCCGATAATCTACACTGATTAGAATATTTCATTGTTTGTTAGTACTGAATAGGCTCAGAAACTGCTTGACCGATTAGAGGAATTGTTTCACCGCTGGGAAAAATCTCTCCGCTGAACATAGGCTATATTATAGTTTCAAAAAAGTTAGTTATCCTTATTAAAACGCCAATAATGTGACCCACGGTGTAAAACGGATTTCATAAAAAATTCCTTACATAGCTTATTTTCGAATACTATTTATTTTAGAAGAAAATAATGTACATTATAATGCCCGTTCGAGCATTTCGATTGGAAACTGGAATTAATGATGTTTTGTTCCAAGAACTGAATCGACGTAGGATTGTCTGCATAGACTTTAGACTTTACATATCTCCACAGGAAAAGTCCAATGGTGTGATATCACACGATCTTAGTGGCCAATCGAGCGGCAGAAACCTTGAAATTATCGCCCCATCGAAGTGTTCTCTCAATAAATCCATTGATTCATGCAGGAAGTGTAGGAATTGGCGCTGTCTTGTTGAAACCAAATGTAGTCGAGATCACGAGCTTCAATTTCAGGCATCAAATAGTTGGTTCGTATGGCGCGATAACGGTCGCCATTGACAAACTGGCAGCCCTTGAATTACTTCAGATTGCTTTTCGTCACAAATGCTCCAATTTTGCTTGTTTACATACACTTTGAGACAGAAATGAGCCGCATTGCTGAAAAAGATTTGGATCGTTTTGAAACTTTTCAGGAGCCCGTAGAGCGAAGCGATGTCGCTGGGGAAGGTTGCAGTTCTTGCAGAAGCTGTTTTTGTCTGCTTTTAAATCTAGATCTCGATGTAAAATGCGCCAAGTCGTTCCATACATCAGTCGTAGTTGATGCGAACAGCGCCGAATCAACCCTCCACGTCTTCGCTTATATTTTCTGCTACGGCTGTTCTTCTATTAAAAAAAAAATAAAAGATAAAATATTAAGGTAATGTCGTCTCTGTAAAAATTCTTTATTTGTATTTTACTATTAGATTAGAATATATTAGGTAAATAGGCTGTTTTCTCGTAAGGCCACAAGTAATCCTACTTAAACTGCTGGAGAAGTTTGTCTGATGTAATGCCCAGAACTCCTAAATAAGGATCAAATCGACTATCGTATATCCACAAAGCGCCTAAACCCAGTCACATATTCACCGGGATCGTAGAATCGACCGAGATGTTTTTCAACTTTAATCTGGTGAAAGTTGAATAGTGAAGGAGGAAGTGTCTAGATGTTTCCAGCTATAGAGTCTTAGTCAGTTCCATTCATCTTCTACTTGGTTCTCAACGTAATTGTTCCTGTAAATCCTGTTGATCTCTTAGTTTGGTGATCCACTAAGAATTTACCGTTCTGCCTCGTTCTGGTAGAGTTGAGACCTGTCCAGTTTTTCAAAAAAAAAAAAACATATATATAATATATTGCTTTACCAACTTTTGCTGGATTCAGCTCATCTGGCAACAGACATACAAACAACTGCTGCATAATTTCGAATTCATACGCGTAAATCACCGCTATCGTTTTATTATATTTCTCTCGACCAATCGGCATAAACGTTTGTATGAGCGATTTTGTGAGATCCAACGTGAACAAATTTTCTTTACGGCCAAATGTTCATGCCATATTGAATGTATATAATAGTTCCATTAATGCCAATAGTTGTCTTAATTATACCCTGAACAGGGTATATTAAGTTTGTCACGAAGTTTGTAACACCCAGAAGGAAGCGTCGCAGACCCTATAAAGTATATATATAAATGATCAGTTTGTTACGTATAGCTTCCATACAAACTGAATGATCGGAATCAAGTTTTTGTATGTAAAACTTTCATATTTAACAAGATATATTCACGAAATTTGGTGCAGATTATTTGTTAAGGCAACAATTTAATCTCCGAAGAAATTGTTCATATCTGTTAACTATAGCATATAGCTGCCATAGAAACTGAATGATCGGAATCAAATGCTTGCAAGGGAAACTTCCTCATTTGACAATATATCTTCACGAAATTTGGTATGAGTTATTGTTCATATAAATAATGTAATATCGGAAGAAATTGTTCAGATCAGCTCACTTTAGCACATAGCTGCCATACAAACCGAACGATCGGAATCAGGGGCTTGTATGGAAAACTTTCGCATTTGAAGTTGTATCTTCACGAAATTTGATTACTGCTTAAGGTAATAATATAATTTCCGAAAATATTGTTCAGATCGGATTACTATAGCGTATAGCTTCCATACAAACTGAACACWTAGTTACTAAAAGAAATGCACCTGTGAAGGGTATATTAGGTTCGGTGTAGCCGAAGTTAACGCTTTTTTCTTGTTTTACTATGATATTGGACGACCTCTATGAAATTCGTCGTTTAACTATCGTTAAACACTGATCTTAACGGTCAGACAAATAATCGCGTGACATTTTTAGTGATTTAATTTTATTCTTTTGCCGATATGAATATTTTAAGTTACTGTAAACAACACAAATTATATTCGTATGAAAAATGTTCTGAGTATGTATAACTTCAAAAATGTCAAACTTTCCGATAAAGTTGTCTGTTGTGAGATATCAATATTAGGATTAACAAGTCTGGATATATAAAAAGGCAGTCTACGTTTAAAATTAACTCAAGATTTTCGCCAAATAAAACAAAATACTATTTTAAGAAAGTTTATGGCGATTGTGGTTTAGATTAGTAGATGTTATCCGCAGATTTCAAGCTTCTCATATCTTTTTAATTAAACATTGTAATGACGATGATAAATTCTAGTGTCGTTAATAACCAAGCCAATCTTTAAGATAGCGCGAGGTCTTTCAATTACGGCAAGATAATGCCTGAAAAACTATGGCTATAAAAGTGCGACTATCAGAAAGAACCAACATGGAACGCCTATCCACAATATTTTTAGCTGATGTTAGTAAGTTCATCCAAAAAATAAAATTTTCTGAATTGAGCGAAGAAAGAATATCGTGTTAGCATTGTCCGACTAATTCTTTTCCAAAATCTGAAACATTCAATATAATACAAACTTTCAATTCCTGCTGGAGGTAGTTGAGGACAAATAAAGTTAACTGAAGCATTGTACTTGAAATCTGACAAGCATTTCGTAAAAAATTCTCAAGGAATAAAAATTTGAATATTTTTAAACCACACATCTGCGTTTCAACTGATTTTGACTGCACTCAGACCGGCCTTATTTTTCATTTTCGTTGGTTTTAATGTGGTTCACTGCTCCCGGTTCAATAAAAATGGTAATGAAGTTATAAACTATTAGTACAAATGAGTGGGAGATACGGATACTAGAGCGAAGAGTTGTTTGTCCAGCATATCTAAGTATATATTTACATATTTTTATAAGCGTCTGTGCGGTTATTCCCGTTTTGTTTTGACCTAGTGTTTCACACTAAAAATAGCACTTATCATACCTAGTAGTGGTTGTTGTATATTTTATTAGCCCACTAACCGTCAGGCCCTGACTCTTGTCATATCAGTATAACCGCATGAATGTATGCATGAATGTTTTCGTTTTTACATACAAGATTGGTTGGAAATTTATGCGGCGTTGAAAGTCATCATTTATTGATCAATATTCCTTTATCACTCAATTAAATAGCCATTTCAGTGTGTATAAATACAAAGACGATCCAAGTTAAGGGCATCAGTTTATTGTCCATTGCAGTCAGTGCGTGCTCCATAAAAAACACAGCAGAAAAATTTTGTGCGGTATATCCAAGGAAGTCGTATTATTTGATTGCGCCAATAAAAAAAATGTGCAAAACTGTGAGTATGTGAATGGTTGAGCGGAAAATTAGCGTTGTAAAGAAGCATTTCAAGCTTCAAATAAAGGACTAAAAGAGGGAGGAATACTGAAAGGGAAACAGCGTCGTCATAAAAATTTAAAATCAGAAGAAAATAAATCGGAACATGTGCGACTGTGAATTATCTTTAAAGGATGTACAGGTGCCCCACTGGCTTTTGATGCAATCGTCTTCTTATGAACTGTTCAACGGAACCACTGTAGTGCATTTCGGGCAGAAGTTGCTGCTATTAAGGCGGCGTAGACATTCCTTTCAAGGAGTCACTCCGACGGAGCGGCAATACGAGCTCTGAGCTCGCTAAATATGTGCTCAAAGCTAGTCAAGGAGTGTCTGCCCTCCCTAAAAATATTATAAAGCTACTTCGTATGGGTGTCTGGTCATAGTGGAATTGCTGGCAACTCGATAGCCGACGATCTAGCCAGAGGAAGAATTCTTGTTCCGTTCACTTCCCCATTGGCAACTCTAGTAGTGGAGAAATTAACCTTGCTTAAACATGGCTAAGTCGAATGCCTTGACTTATATATTTGATATTATCTCCTACATTTTCTTCTGGTTATTAAAAATTTTGTAGTGTATATTATATAAGAAATATGTCACGCTAAAAAAGAAACACAATATAAAAGCTAATCAATTTAGAGATAACGAGGCTAACTGCATTTAGGTTACAATGATTAAATGAATATTAACATCACTAATGCTCATGACATTATATCAATATACAGCATTCCAAAATTATAATCTCTATTTCATTTTTTCGCAGCTGTTACTAATCTCTTTTGTCATCACTGGCCTGTTGGCAACTGCGCGAGCAGAGGCTGACTCCACCATAACTCGCTATGCTAGCGAATTGAACATCGATGGCTCTTACAGTTTTGATATAGCCGAATCGAATGGTGCCGAACATCGCGAGGATGGCGTGGGTGGACAATATGCTCAGGGTTATTTCCGTCACTACTCGCCGGAAGGAAAATTCGTGCAAATTATTTACGTAGCCGATGAGAATGGCTATCAGCCGCAATCCGATGTGCTTCCTACGCCACCACCGGTGCCAGCACACATCCAGCGATCCATTGAGTACATACGCGCACATCCCACACCCGAAGAGTTGGCCGATCAACAGGTGCGCGCACGACACTTTTAAACTGAGAAAGCCTATTTGTACTGAGGCAAAATGAGCCGAAATTGTCTTAATTTGTTGTTTATGATTTTTAATAGGAAACATAATAACTACTATAACGGATTATTAGTTATTTGCTTAAATAACGGCCTGCGGCAGATACATTAAGACACACACTTTGTACTTTACTTAATGATGTAGAAACTTAGAAAAATATGTTTAAAACTAGTCGAATAAATACTAACAAAAATTAATGTGGAGCTGTTTTGCTTTATGAGCTGAGTTCTTTGGTTATTTCAATGGGTGTGAGTTTTGTCTATCACAATTCGGAAGAGCATTTGATTAATGATTGGGTTATAATGGTATAGGGTGCGCTAAATGGCAAATTCAATGAATTATCCATCACTTTCAAGCAAAAAAAGGTGATAGTATTAATACAAATGATTATAAGAAGCAAGTATATTCATAAAGAAGAACAATGAAGCAATGAAGAAAAGTAAAATTCTTCTGTGAATCTCGCAGCGCCGCTATAAGCGATGACATGTCATAAATTAAATTATATTTTATCAAAAAAATTACCAAATAATAACTTGCCTTGGAAATAATTATATTATATAACTATGTAAACAAGAGCATTTGCCTGCCAGCTAATCGCTCTGCCACAAATTGTGGCAAGCAGGAAATAGAATTGTTGACAGCGCCCACAAGCAATTTTGAAATAACCATTGCAACTATTCTGTTCAACATTTAGCGCCCGCTGAGCCGCAAGCAGTATGCAATTTATCATTAGGTATTCACTTTCTGACCATGAATTTTTACAGTTCTGGCCTCTTTATTCAATTTCGTTATGCTTTTTTTAAGCTTTCAATGCAAGTCGGATTAGATGATGGATGAGCGAGTAAAGGAGAAGGTAAACTAGTTCACTGCTCACCTAATATGCTACGCCATGTTATGACACACTTCAATTGGCATAACATTTACCTAAGAAATGAGTAAACTATATCGTTTGTGTTAGTCATTAAAGAACAAGGCGAGGTTGCTTGGGCGCGACTTAAATGACTCAGCTAATATGTAATTCATCATCATTCTGCTTGTGGCTGAGAAAAAATGATAATCCAATTATCGAAAATTCATATTTCGCCAATTAGTAAAATATATATATTGTGGTTAAATTTGAGCAAATAATTAATTTCATGTTTATCATTTCTGGTTGGTGCAAAAGCCGTTTATTTTTTAAATCGTATTACAAATTTTATTAGCTCACAATTCGCTAGAATCTAAACCTGGAAAGCATATCTTTAGTGTTGGATAAATTAAAAAGAAAACAAAAAAACCATTTAGTTAACTTAGTAAAGTAGGTAATATATTGTAGGCCATAGCCTCATTTCGTTTCAATAGTTTCGTAATTTTAAAGTTCTTAATTTATTTTTCAAAAAATATATCGTCACCTTCCAAGTAGTCCCCCTTGGCCTCAATATACTTATGCCAACGATTTTTCCAATCCACGAAACAATTGTTAAAGTCAATTTCCGGAACAGTCTTCAAGACGAGTAGCGTTTTACGTTTGCTGTCTAAAATTTACTTACAACGGTACCCTCCGAGTTGTCGATTGAGTTTGCTGAATAGCCAGAATTCACACGGAGCTAAAACAGGCGAATACGGTGGTTGCATATGATATTGGTTGAAAATTTGGCGTAAAACTCACGAAGAATCAGTAAAGTATGCGTCGGTGAGTTATCGTGGTGAAAGAACCAAGAGTTGTTCTGATTTTCTCTGATCCTTCCGATATTTAGATTTAACTGGTATTGTCTTCTGTTTATTTATATATAATTAAATGCATATCTATCCTGATTAGTTTAAGGTGTTATAAACAACCAATATGTGAATAGAACTAATATACTTTATAGCCACTTGCTGTGAAAGTATTGTGTGATCCAAGCATAAGTGACTATTTTCTATAGTCTTTTTTTGAGAGATCACGCGTGCTTCGAGTCAAGCTGTCATGTTAGTTTTGTTCATTATTGTATGACATTTCCTCATAGAAAGACTTACATTTGATCAACGTTTACAAATCGTTCAACTTTTTCTATTTTTGACTTAAGAGATATGAAAACAAGTATAATTTGCGACATTTGGGACGAAGAGCAAACTGAAGAGTTATAAAAGCTGCCATCTCATCCAGAGAAAACAGTAGTTTGGTGCGGTTAGTGGGCCGATGGATTCATCGGTCCATATTTCTTCAAAAACTATGTCAGTGACTATTTGATGACTGAAAATGAAGCTCGCGATCTTAGCGACATTCGGTTTCAATAAGACGGCACCACTTCCTAAATATCGCATCAATCAATGTATTCATTGAGAGAACACTTCAATGAAAGAATGATTTCACTACTTGTGTTAGATTTTCCCTTTGGGGGATATGTAAAGTCTAAAATATATGCAGACAATCTCACTTCGATCCAGACCTTGGAGCAAACCATCACACGTGCCAGAGTCTTCAAAAATTGGGCTCAAATGATGAACCATCTGCGATATGGCAGCGGCCAACATTTGAGAGAGATAAAAAAATAAATACCAAATAGTGTTCTTTCGAATGATAATAAACATTCCCTATTAAATTTGAAGTTTTTGTGTTTTTTCTTTAAAAAAGTAGGGAACCTCGAAATAGATTCTAGCAGAACGGCCTTCGTTATTCATTTTTGCGTGGAAACAGTATAATAATTCGTCACAGAAGAGCCTCGTTGATATATGGAACCTCAGAAAACGGCTGTTCCTTTCGGCCGTTAGCACGGTTTTTGCAGGTTTGCCAGTAAAGTTCGATGACTGAATGTCTGTATTATATTTCTTGCGTGATCTGACAAGTTCGTTATTTGAAATGTATACCCATCTTGCACACATCGTAAACATTAGAGTAGTATTGTCACTTTAAAGGGTTACAATAACGTAGAAATACCAAGAGATAATTATAACACTATTGCAAATGCATTAGAAAACATAATAGCGTAGAGCACAAGTGCTGCTTGTTTGTTTGAGCATCTGGTATAGTGTGTTCGATTCACTATAGGCGGAACGCTTGGTGAACTGAGGACAACTGGTAGAAAATACAAAGTTGAAGAGAAATCAACTCAAAAACCCGCCATAAAAGTAAGTAGTTTGTAACTAGTTGAGAATTATTAACAGAACTTTGAAACTATAAATAAGCAAATAAAATTGGGCATACCGAACGGTTTCCAGAATGCAATGCCATGCAATTTGCAAGCCGAAATATTATATATTTCATAAAACTTTCTGTTTTATACAAACTTCTATATTTCTAAAGCAACACCCTAAATATATACATATACATATATATGCATATACACAAGCACATATGGTGTATACAAACCGATATTTACGTCTACTATTTTATGGCGCTACAAGCAACAGTTGTGTGCAGCATGTTGTAAGAGTCCAAAAATAATGCAAGACCAATTCACGGAATTACTTCTCCATCTGTTGAGATTAGCAATAAAACTGCGCATCAACAAATCACCGCTTTTACGATGGGTTGTGTTGAAGTAGAGCTGCAGTTGCATCAGTTTTGCTTGAATGCATCACATATTTGACTAACTCGTTTATTTGAAAGCTATAAATGTGAGCAATTTCAGTTTCGGTTTGCTTGGCTGATTTCGTTGGCTTTGGAATGCTGGCGTTCTCATTTTCTTAAATTTCATCATCACACTCTTGAAAAAATTTACAAAAAAAAAAAAAAAAAAGAGTTTACATTTTTATGAGTTCTTTAATGAAACTGAATTTAGTCGAAATATTTTTCACACGCATATTGGTTGCTGTTTTAAGATTCTAAACGCATTCTCGACAAGTGTCTTTCAAAATGTCGCATAATTACTTTGCGTGACATTTAGTTAATGTAATAAAGGATTAATATCTTAATGCTATTTACGTCACAACTAATCCATTAAGAGGCCAACAATCACGTTACGCAAGTGATTAGGCTTCAAATATACTATATTTGTGTGTATTTGTATATATGAGTGTTATACATGTCGACCCACTTTGTATGCAAACTATAGCACCACTTTAAGCTGGTGTTCTCAATACTTGCAGATATGTTCTACATAAATTATATAACTATGTTTGTATTTGATACTCATAAAGCACACATACATATAGACACGTTTATGTTATTTATAGATTTGTATCAGTGAAAATCTCAAGAATAGCTGCAAATGCGATTAAATTTAATGATTCGGAGGCAGTTGCGATTTAATTATCTGGATCTACAATACACACATACACGTACAAACAGTTGTGTTTGTAATAATAATACCGTTTTAGTAGCAATATTTTTTATAAATAAGTGCGAATAAACTTGTTTTCGGTTTTTACGATATAGACAAACACCGTTACATAAAAATGAGATACAATTTATATCCTAAACAGATAGATATCAAGTTTCCCATGAAGTTTGCAAGAAAAAAATTTCGGAGACCCCATAAAGTTTATATAAGTGGTGATCCATTTCAAGGTTTAATACTTTTTTAAAGAAAAACACAGAAACTTAAGATTTAATGGCGAATTTTTATCATCATTCGAAAGAACATTCTTTGGCATTTATTTTTTGAAGATTATATCTTTGAAATATTGACCGTCTGAGACATAGAGTGTTCCTTGAGTCCAATTTTTGTTGACTTCTTCGAGCATTTCGACTAGTAAGTCACTGGTGAATGAAATGCGTGATGGTTTGCTCTTAAGCCAAAATCGAAGTGGGATTGTCCGCCTAGGCTTTAGACTGTACATATAACAAAAAAAAAAAAAAGTCTAACGGTGCAATATCACACGATTTTGCTGGCTAACCGACTGGCCTAAAACGTGAAATTATCCGTCCATCGAAGTGTTCTCTTAATAAATCCAAATCGTTAAGATCATGACATTCAATTTTAGACATCAAGTAGTCGGTTATTATGGCGTGATAACGGTCGCCACTGACTGTTTCATCATTTTTGAAGAAATGTTTTGCTTGTTTACATACCCATTGAGCCACAAATGGACCTCATCGCTGAAGAAAGTTTGGCTCGAAGACGTCGAATCTTCTTGGAAATGGAGTCCATAGGGCGAAACGATGTCGCTTGGCAAGGTCTTACACAAACTGTATTTTATACGGTTTAAATATAAGATTTTCTTCACTGCGTGCTGACGTTGGTCTATTCGGTTGAATATTATCCAATAATGAATGGTCTC